GAAGTTAGGCACCGAAGAGCCTCACTGAAGAGCGAGTCAAGAAAAGGCCCCACCCAGGAAATCTAATTTCACATTTCAGCGGTGGAAAACCTTGTTTGTACAGGGTGCTGGTGAGCGACGGCCTTGGTGAGTGTGCATGCAATCTTTTTCTCTCGTAGTGTGTGCTGATGTTAAAAAGTGTGACAAAGGTGAAGCTGAGATACTTGGCTCAGCCTGTGATCACAAAAGTAAAAACAAAAGCAAACCTTAAACGTTAGGTCTGCAAACAAAGGATTTTGCAAAGAGCTTGGTTGGATGGATTCAGCTGTTCTGGGTGGCTTTTCTTTTACATCTTGGTCTGTTCAACTGAACACTGGAAATATTTGAAAATATAGCATTTGTTATGAAAGAAAGGTGCATCTGTCAGTGTGGGAAGGAGGAGGGAATTAGTTCATAAGCCTTGATGCCTTCTAGAATTAGCCTGGTTTTCTAAAAACAGTCACTTAACCAGCATTGCAAAAGACAGTCCCCTCTGCTTGTAATCTGAGCATTTCCTTCCTCTGTGTCTCCCCTATTAAATATTAGAATTAAATTCTCAGACTTGTACAAACTGTGGCATTGAATACCTCCCAACTCCTAATACCAACTTTCTTGTTCAGACCTTCAGCCATGATCTTCAGGGTTACCTGAGCAAGGAAGAGCAAGGGGATCCTTTTCATTCCTGCCTCTTGATGTCTTTTCCTGTTTCATTACAAGGATCAAATAGCAGTCTGAAATGCTGTTGCTACTTAGCAGGAAGAGAGGAGTGTGTTAAGTGAATAAATACTTTGAGCCCTGTGCAGCTTTCAGCTCTAGACCAAGAATTAGAAAATGGGGAAGAGGAAAATGATCTGTCCGTCCATCCCATTCCAACAAAATGCACAGGGCATGGAGATGTTACTTTCTCCGTGCCCTGGGAAACTTCCAGCTTCCTAGTATGGGCAAATTCTTGCTCTTCTTCCTCTCCCTGAGCTGGTTTTACAAAAGTTAAAGCTACTGTTTGTCAGTATGATTTGTTTTTATGCTGTTTCCCATATTGATAATGATATCAGTTTGATGCCGCAACATTTCATATCTCCTGGAAAGTCACAGCTCCTTGTCATGATAATTTGGCATCTTTTTTGGCAGGACCTATAAACACAGTATGGGTTTTTATATTTTATATATATGCGTATGTCCAGGGAGTGGACGTAGCAAGTGGCAACTATGGCCTTGTTTCAGAGTGATTCTGACTTGCTTCTAAATTCTCCAGAGTTTGCTGTCAGAAAGAAAAGTTGTACATATATTTATGGTATCTGTGTGCAGAGAAATACTCTACCCTGAGTTACTTACAATCCATGAGTCAATATTGCCTATGCTGGCTGTGGAGCAGGTCTATAGGGTTTTAGATCAAGATGTTTCCCATCCCTATTTGGAGATAGAGGGAGCTGCCTTATACAGAACCAAACAATTGATCCATCTCTAGCCCAATATTGTCAGCACTGACAGGCAGTGGTGCCACAGTTTCAGGCAGAAGTTTTTCCAGCCCCACCTGGAGATGATGTGGATTGAGCTTGGGAACTCATAGTATATACTATCACTAAGCTCTGATCTTCTGCAAGGTACTTTGAACTGGAATGAGGAAGTTAGGATCCGTGCAATTTATCGATAATTTCAATCATTCGTTTTACTAGATAACAAGTTAGGAGTGTTTTTATGCAGTTTCCTGGAGTCTTCTTAAAATATGGTTGTGGTAGTATTTTTCTAAGATGAGGGAGGAAACTCAAGGCTGGGTTTGTCTAAGCGAAGAGCACAATAAATCCTGAATTTATTGATATTCACAGTTCCTGAATTTGATATTCACCGAGGGCAATGACCTGATCTATCCTGGTTTTGTGATTACTTAAAAAAAAAAATGGAGATGTTAATGGTAATTGTCCCAGTCACCCTATTGCAGTAGATGGACCATGACAGACCTGTAACTAAGGCAAACTTTTCTGAAAAAAATAAGAGAAGTCAGCTGGCCAGGGACCATATGTGGCATTAGGGCATTACAGTATCATACACTGCTGGCTATCAATGCAGGAGAAGGCACTGGAGTCTGCAAATGTCTTGGATTGCAACTCCCTTGATCCCTCACCATTAGCTACATTGACTTTGATGAACATTGTGATCCAAAATATCTGGAAGTACATTTGCTCTTAATATCACTTGCCAATCCAGAACTCCATAGCACGCTGTATGAAGTTGCCTTATACAGAGTATAAGCCTTAGATTCACACATCTACTCCTGTTCTAGCCATTCCAAAATGCAGCAGCTCTTTTTGGCTTCAGTAGAAGTCTTCTCCAGTTCTCCTCCCTTTGGTCATTAGAAGAGCTCAGAGACAAACAAAGTACCTGGTTGGCAAGTAAAAAGTCCCAGATTAAATTCCAAGGTTGGAGAAACTATTGCCTGAAGCTTGACAATGTCAACAGTACTAACCAGATAGACCAATGGCCTGGTTTAAGAAAAAGCAACTTCTTATGTTACAATGAAACCTGTTGAGTAGATAGTCAACTCAATCCTTCTTGTATACAAAGCTAGTGCTCTAGCACTGAACTATACCCCACCATTTAATGAAAGCCCTAACCAGGTTTGTTATTTCTCACAGATCCTTGGAACCATGTATACAGCAAACCCCAAAAGGTAAGGAATACTTTTTATTCTCATCCAATCAACCAGTAACCATTTCATAGGCAGAATTGAATGCCACAGCAATTGCAGGTGGTCTTTAAATTACCAATATAAGCATATTTGGGGGAAAGAAAGTTTGTATAATATTGTTTGTTCTTTGAGGAATAGGTCTCACTGCAGCCAGCAACGTTTCCATGTACTGTAACTACTAGATCTTGGAATTCTGTTAAAACAGGCAGGCAAGAAAGCAGACAAATCTGATTATGTCGTTCTTTCTGTCTTGATACTCGCCTTTCATCTGGATTTCCCTCCTATGATTTCTCCAAGGTGAAGCTTCCCAGATTTGTTGGACTTCAGCTCCCATCATTCTTCAACTTTGCCTATGTTGGCTGGGGATTTATGGAAGTTGAAGTCAAACACACCGCAAGGGCCACAGGCTCAAGAAGACTGCTCTATACTTTTTTACCTCACCTTCTTGGAAGTAGCTGTTCTTGGTTCCTTCTGTAGATATCTGGCCTATCCTGTCTTTCTTCTTCCAATTCAATAAATTCAAACCTTCTTGGTAACATCTTCTTGGCAGCGGCTCTCCCTTTGATGCTTCAGCGAAAGAACCTGGTCTGCACATCTGGCGCGTGGAGAAAATGAAGCCAGTTTCTGTTCCAGATCAGATGAAAGGCATATTCTATTCTGGGGATTCATACCTCATCCTCTATAATGGACCTGACGAGCATTCCAATCTGCATATTTGGATTGGTAAGCAAAGGGCCAAGATAATCCTTAAGTGTACAGGATCTATCTGGGGAAGGATGCTTTTCTGGAGCGTATTGCTGAATAAACCATGTTTAGCTGGATTCATACAATACATGCTTTACAGATCACAAGGGCTGAGCTTACACCATAGGCTCAACCAACATTCAAGAAATGTCAGGCCTAGCCCAAGGAACTCCAAGAAACCATGCAAATTAGTCCAGCTATGTTTATTAGCTATAACCTCTAGCAAGAATCTTCCCAGACTAAAACCCCAGTTCCAAAAGCCCCCCAGCCACAACAGTGTAAATTCCTCAGGGAGGTGCCAGTCTCATCCTCTTGATCCTCCCACG